ACAGTGGGGGACATGAGGTGAGGTGGGGGTGCTGTGTCCACAGGAAGGCAGAGACGCGCAGGGTGGGAAGGGGCAGAGAGGGGGCGTGGGAAGTGAACCCCGCGGGCCAGAGGGTGTTGGCCCCTGGGTTGGGGTGACGAGCGGGAGGGGGGAGCAGGGGCCGCTCTCTCCCCAGCCATGGTCAGTGGGAGCCCTCAGGCACGGGAAAGACTAGAAGGGCGTGTGTGTGTGTGTGTGTGTGTGTGTGTGTGTTGGTTTTGCCTGACCTTTGACCTTTCCCATCATTAACCTTAGCCAGACCCACTTCTAGCATTTTCCCGGGGAAGGGAGACCCCAGCCACGGGGTCCGCGGAGTCATTACAAACACAGGCTAACGGGGATACCCCCCCCCCTCCCGAAGCCACTGCCTCCCTGCCTGGCGCCCTCCAGGGAGGGTCATTAGCCGGAAACCGATAAAGGGGAACAGCTGATGGCTGATGGGTTTGTGCGCCAGGACACCCGTCCTGGGCTCCTGGGCTCCCTGCAGAGCCCCAGGCCAAGGATTAGGACTCAGGTCCTGCTGCTGAGCGCCCCTCTGAGACCCCTAGTCCAAGCTCTGCTTTTATGAAAATGAGTTAAGCCGGACCCTGCGTTCACAGTGGCCGAACGACACGCAGCAGAAGGGACCCTGTCCCACGGCATACAAGAACCACTGAGTGACGGGAGGAAAGTGGGCCCCCCCCCACCCCCAGTAACAGTCCCAGGGTCTCCTGCCGTCCCTGTGCTGGGACAGTGAGCGGTGAGAGTTGTCAGGGCCCCACGTGGATGGGCTCTGGGCTGGTCTTCTCTGCTCTCCTGGAGGTTGGCATTGCTTTTCAAACTAATTTTCCATTAAAAAATATAATAATAATAGTACTGTAGCACTGTCCTCCCATTGTTCATTGTTTTGCTCGAGTAGGCACCAGTAACGTCTCCATCGTGAGACTTGTTGTTACTGTGTTTGGCATCTCGAATACACCACGGGGAGCTTGCCAGGCTCTGCTTTGCGGGCGGGATACTCTTGGTAGCTTGCTGGGCTCTCCGAGAGGGGCGGAGGAATCGAACCCATGTCGGCCGCGTGCAAGGCAAACACCCTACCTGCTGTGCTATCCCTGCAGCCCAATAATAATAATAATAATAATGATGATGAAACAGGGGCTGGAGCGATAGCACAGCGGGTAGGGCATTTGCCTTGCATGCGTCCAACCCGGATTCGATTCCCAGCATCCCATATGGTCCCCTGAGCACCGCCAGGAGTGATTCCTGAGTGCAGAGCCAGGAGGAACCCCTGTGCATCGCTGGGTGTGACCCAAAAAGCAAATAATAATAATAATATAATAATGAGACAACCTCAGAAGGATCAGGTGGAGTTCAGGCATTTGCTTTGCCCAAAGCCGACCCTGGTTTCCTGCCCAGTGTCACGGACGGTCCCCCGAGCGCTGCCAGGAGTGACCCCAAGCCACCGCCCGGACAACAAAAAAATGCCCAACAGTCCAGGACTAAAGGAACAGATGACGGGCTGCGGCCTGGCTCTGCGGAGCGGCCGGGCTCCCTCCCAGCACCCCGCGGTCCCCAGAGCACTGCTGGGAGTGACCTCAAAGCACCCTGGGGATTAGCCTCTGGGTACTGCCAGGTGTGACCTCAGAACGAAACAAAAAACATCTCCCTCATTCCCAAGTTCCGGTAGGTGTGAGCTCTCGGAAAATAAACGGGTCTGGGCAGCCTGTGTGGCCTGGCCCCTCGCCGCGCCTGTCTGTCCCCCTGTCCCCCCTGGGGCTCACTTGGCTGCCCCCACGGCCTCCTGGAGTCTGGGTCAGGTTCCCTGCCCAGAGAGAAGGGAAGGGAAGGGAAAGGAAGGGGAGGGAAGTGGACGGAATAAAAGCCCAGAGACTGCGGCCAGCGCCGGCATCGCTCACTCGCGCCCACCCCACCTCCCCCCTCCCTTTCCCCTCTCCGCTTCAAGGCTGCCGGAGTGTGAGGTTCTGGGCATCAGAGGCTGGACCAGGCCCCCCTCTCCCCCCGAGTCTGAGAAAGAGAGAATAGAAGCCAGGGCTGGAGCGATAGCACGGCGGGGAGGGCGTTTGCCTTGCACGCGGCCGACCCAGGTTCGAATCCCAGCATCCCATATGGTCCCCTGAGCACCGGCCAGGAGTGATTCCTGAGTGCAGAGCCAGGAGGAACCCCTGAGCATCACCGGGTGTGACCCAGCAAGCCAAAAAAGAGAGAGGGGATGCCGTTGCGGGCTGCTGGTGGCCGGGGGAGTGACCCAGCAGCTGACTCAGTGACAGGGGAGGGAGCAGCCCTGTCGTGGTGGCCGGGGGCAGGCGGGGAGCCCCTGAGTCAGGCCAGCTCCGTTGTTCCTGCAGGGAGCGTCTGTGGGGGGGGGGCCGGGGCTCTGGGGACTTTGGCGTAAGGAGCCCCTCGCTCCATCTCTACAAACGGGGACACTTTCAGTCACTCAGCGTCTCTCCCATGCTCACACCCTCTATTTTTTTTGCTTTTTGGGCCATATCCGGCGATGCTCAGGGGTTCCTCCTGGCTCTGCACTCAGGAATTACTCCTGACAGTGCTCGGGGGACCCTATGGGATGCCGGGGATCGAACCGAGGTCGGTTGCGTACAAGGCAAACACCCTTCTTGCTGTGCTATCACTCTGGCCCGCTCACACCCTCTCTGGCCTTGGTCTGCCCGCCTGAGGGCACAGGATGGACGGAGAAACCACGCAAAGGCCCCGCCACGCTTGGGGCTCTGCCCAGCTGATGCCAAGGACTCCACGGGTGAGCTGGGGGCCACCTCCGTGCCCGGTCCCTTGCACAGCCACACGCCCTTGCTCCACCCGTGTGCCAGGGATGGGGGGAGGCCTCTTGCAGGGTGGGCACGGGGGGAAGGGGCTGTGTGGCTGAGCTATTGATGGGCACCAACACAGGCCTGACTCACCGTCCCTGTAACTTTGAGGCTACGGCAGCACCTGGTCACCTCAGAGCTGGGAGCTCAGGACCTGCAGGGGTGGGGTGGGGAGCTTCTGTCCCCAGGAGGTCATCACTGCCCCGGACACTTGTTCTGTCCTCCTGCCTGGCATGGGGCGACTGCGGCTGGAGCTGAGGGAAAGACCAGGTTGGTCTCACGCTCGCCAGATCCCCCGACCTGACAGCAACCTGGCAAATCCCTCTGGGCCCGGGTGCCCATACTCAGGACCCACCTAGCCAGGGCACTTTCGGCCCCTCTCGGGAGGGTCAAGCTTTCTTCTTCTTCTTCTTCTTCTTTTTTTTCTTTTTGGGTGACACCCGGCAACGCACAGGGGGCTCCTCCTGGCTCTGAACTCAGGAATTACTCCTGGAAGTGCTCAGGGGACCATATGGGATGCTGGGAATCGAACCCAGGTTGGCTGCGTGCAAGGCAAACGCCCTTCCTGCTGTGCTATTGCTCCAGCCCCCAAGATTTCTTTTTCTTTGTTTTTGTTTGTTTTATTTGGGGACCACACCTGGTAATGCTCAGGGATCACTCCTGGCGGTGCTCCTCAGGGGATCACACAGGGTGCTGGGGCTCAAACCCGGCTTGGCCGCAGACAAGGTAAATGCCCTCCCTACCCGCCGTCTTGTGGCTGGCTCCAGCCCGCTCTCTCTTCTTGAATTTGTTTAATTTTGAAATTATTACAGCTTAGGGAACGTGGTGGGCCGGAGCCATAGCACAGCGAGTAGGGCGTTTGCCTTGCACGCGGCCTACCCGGATTCGATTCCTCCACCCCTCTGAGAGAGCCCGGCAAGCTACCAAGACTATCGTGCCCACACGACAGAGCCTGGCAAGCTCCCCATGATTTATTCGATATGCCACAAACAGTAGCAACAAGTCTCACAATGGAGACCTTACTGGTGCCCACTCGAGCAAATCCATGGACAATGGGAGGACAGTGCTACAGGGAACGTGGTCACAACCATGATGACGCTGGTGGGGGCCAGTGCTTATGGTGTGTGTCCCCCCCAACCCAAAGTGCCCAGGGACACCCCCCCACAACTGTCCTATCCCAGCTCTGGTGTGATGGTCACTCCCTGCCACGGCCCGGCCCCCAGAGTTCTGTCATGGTTCCAGGCTGCTAATAATGTCAGGGTTCCAGCATGTCTCCACTCTCCTGTGCGAGCCCAGGGCTTCGGGGTGCATAGGGATGAGGGCAGAGTGTGGGCGCAGGGCAGATGGAGCCCTTCCCTGCCCGGGCCCTGCCAGGGCCTCCCGGCATCTCTACGGGCCCCACCCACCCACTTGGGCCACTGCCTGGGGAGGTGTCAGTTTCTCTGCAGATCTGGAGTTGACCCCAACACCGAGTGAGTCCGCGGGTTGAGGGGTCCTGACGGCAGGTCGTGGGGTGGGGTGGGGCAGCCCCAGCGGCCCGGCGTGTTGAATGTTAACCCGGTGGGTTCCGGTCAGCCTCCGAGGGCTTCACGTCCCGCTGGAACTCCAGCGGTGATCTCTGACCCCTGACGGGAAATGTTGAGAAAAAAGACTTAAAACGGCAAAAAAGACTGACCTTTGCAGAGGCTGGTGTCCATTGTTTCCGAGACAGAAGCCTTTGTTGTGCCGGGCGGATGCGGCAGAAGTCCAGCCCTGGCGCTGAGGAGGCCGCAGACCGGGGGAGTGGAGGGACTGTCCCTTCATTCCAGACCCTTGGCATTTGCGTCGCGCGCAGAGTTCATTTGCTCTGCAGCCCCCGTGTCTCCGGAGGGCTCTGGGGTCAGCTGCGGGGAGCCCATCCTGGGGTGTGTCCAGCGGGTTCTCAAACAGGGTCCTGCTGGGTCTGACTGTGGCACTCAGCGCTCGGGCCAGGGGGGCTGGGGTTGGACTCAGGGCCTCACACACACTGGACATCTGCTGTACCCCTGGGCCAGGGCCCGCGATGCGCTGAATGAGTAGCTGAATGAGCAGAGACCCCTGACCCCCGTCTCCTCCGCTCCCCAGCCTAACGCTGCTGCTCTCACGCCCCTCCCTTTGCAGATATTGATGAGTGCGAGAACGACTACTACAATGGGGGCTGCGTGCACGAGTGCATCAACATCCCGGGCAACTACAGGTGCACCTGCTTTGACGGCTTCATGCTGGCCCACGATGGACACAACTGCCTGGGTGAGTCCTGAGCGACGCCCCATCTGCAGCCTCTGCCCCAGGCTCCGCCCACGAGGGGGAGGGCTCACCCACAGGCCACGCCCACAGGGCGGGTTCATCTACAGCCTCGCCTATGGGGAAAGTGCTCGCCTACAGGCCCCGCCCATGGAGGGAGGGGTCTGAGCTACAGGCCCCGCCTAGGCTCTGCCCACTGGACAGGCTCATCTCAGGCTCCGCCCAATGGGGGGCGGGCTCATCCACTGTCCTATGGGGAAGAGCTCAACCACAGGCACCGCCCACAGAAGGGCGGGCTGATCCGCAGGCCCCGCCCATGGGGCGGGTTTATTCACAGGATAGACCTGCCTATTGGAAGGTCTCAACCACATGCTCCGCCTATGGGGCGGGCTCACCTATCAGCCCCGCCCCCATGCCCCGCCCATGGCTCAGCTCCAGCTGCCCTGTTTGCAAGGGTTTGCCTCGTGGATTAGGGACTCCCCACCCTTTTTTTTTTTTTTTTTTTTTTTTTTTTAAAGTAGAGGCCTTCCCAGTAGTGCTGGAGGGCCCAGAGCAGTCCCAGCACTATTGGGGCTTGGATCTAACAGTTCTGGGCTTCGCCCAAAAGTCAAGGGCAAGGGGGTCAGGCAGTGTGGGGGCGAGGTGGGATGTGGAGGTTGAACCCAGGGGGGCTGGCATTTGGGCCGGTGCCCCTCTCTTGGAGGAAAGAGTCACACTGGACTAAAATCCCCTCGGACACGCCGTTTCCCAAAGAGGCCATAGCGGTGCTGGGGTTTGGGCTTTCCCGGGACGGGGCAGCTCAGCTTCTGCCCAGAGCCGTGCACCATCTGCTGCAGGTCACCCCGGCTCTGCAAGGGGCCTCCCCCAGCTTCTCCGGCCTGCCCCCCAGGACTGAGTAAGCCCCAGTGGACCCCCGGACGGTGGCTGCAGGGGTATGGTGTGGCTAGCCTGCACAGCCTCCGGGGCCCAGCTGCCACTCTGTGCCTGAGCCCCGGGGTGGTTCGTTTTGTCTGTCTGTCCCACCAGCAAGAGGTGTGAAGCTTTCCCTCTGTTGTCTGCCCTGGAGCTTCTTCCCCAGGGGGAGTCACGGGGGGCTCAAGGCTCACTCCGGTGTTTGGGTTTCTAGAAGAATCCCCGCGGGGTGCCTCCTCCCGGGCTTGGCACCCCCTCGGCGGCGCCCGCCCCGGTGCTCTGGAACGTGTCCTCCTCGGGGTGCAGGAGGCTGATGTCTCCCTGTCTGGTTTTGTTTAATGCCTATTGCAGCTCAGACGAGCTCGTTATGGGAAACAGATCTGCAAACGTGTAATTACCCCGAAATCAGCGCTGAAACGGAGGTCTGGACAGCAGGCTGTGGAGGCCCAGGGGGGCCTGTGGGAGCGACCCCGGCGTAGGGTGAGGAAGGAGGGGGGGTGTTTGTGGCTAAGTCGGGAGAGGGGCCTCCTAGGAGGAGGTGGCTGGATCTCCCAAGGTTGCTGGGATGGGTGAAAAACACAGGGCAAGCTTGAGCTGGGGGCGTGGCCTAGGTGGGGCGTGGCCTAGATGGGGCGTGGCTCCGGTGGGCGGGGCCTTGCGTTTAAAGAGCGTTTGGAGGGAGGGGTTAGGATGCTCCCAGACTTTATTTCCCCCTCCCCAAGCTCAAGCACCTGGGCTGATGGCTAGGGGGAGAATCCCTGGAGTCCGAGCTGCCCTGTCTTGAGGGACAAGAGGCAGTGTGGCCAGGGTGCCAGGCAGGATGGCCAGGGTGCCCGCAGTGCTCGGTGCTGGTCAGCAGATGCAGAGTGTGTGCGAGGCATGGGCACTGGCCGCCCTCATCGGAGGGACATGGAGAGGGCTGGGGGGCGACCTCAGAACCCCAGGAGCCCGCCCTGGGACCGGCCCCCACGTGCCCACTGGGGTGTCCAGAGCAGCTCAGACCGGGGTGAGGGTCCCCCCTTGGCTCCATCTCACTGGCCCCCAGACACATGGCAGCTTCTGTGGCCACCGTGAAAAGGCTCTCTGGCCACCCAGCGCCCGGGCATGCTCGGTCCTCAGTCCTCCCGCGCTGCCCCCCCCCACTACGTCACGGCCCCGGGTACCCACGCTGCCCCGCATTCACCCCGCGGACCCCGAGAGATCAGTTCCAGCCCCCGTGCCTGGATTCGGGGGTTGATGACCGTGACTCAGCTACAGCCCTGCAGACAGTCGTTCAGTTGTCCCTGAGGAAGGCGGGATCAGAGGCCAGAGGGAGCACAGAGGGGAGGGCACTCGTCTGGCACATGGCCAACACCCGTTACATCCTCGGCACCCCAGACGGTCCTGAGCACTGAGCTGGGAGTACTCCCTGAGCACTGCTGGGTCTGGCACTAAAAATCATAATTAATAAATAACTAACAAGATAGAAGTCAGTCTGGACAGCTGTGTGGAGGCTGTGGGTGGCTGTGTGGGCAGCTGCGTGGGTGTCCATGTACCTGGTGTGGGTTGACTGGGTGTCTGTCCAGCAGGAGCTACTGTCCGCCCGCCTGCGGGCAACCCAGCTATCCCTTCTTTTGTTTCATTTTCTTTCTGGGTCACACCCGGCGATGCTCAGTGGTTACTCCTGGCTCTGCACTCAGGAATGACTCCTGGTGGTGCTCGGGGGACCCTAGGGGATGCTGGGAATCGAACCCGGGTCGGCCGCGTGCAAGGCAAACGCCCTACCCCGCTGTGCTGTCGCTCCAGCCCCCAGCTGTCCCTCTGGGTGGCCTTTCTTCCTCTTCTTGAAGCGTCGGTTCGGTGTTTTAAAACCACGCAGCAACACCTAAAAGAAGTCGGTCTCTCCAGGCAGGAGAGGTAGGACAAGGGCTAGGCCTCGCCTTGCACACAGCCAGCCTGGACTCAATTCCTGGTACTCTCCAACTGACCCCTGAACCCCTCCAGGAGGGGTCCCTGAGTGCAGAGCCAGGAGTCAGCCCCGAGCACGACCCGGTGTGCCCTTCCACCCCCCCCAAAAAAAATATATATATGTATGTATGTGTGTGGGCTGGAGCAAGAGCGCAGAGGGTAGGGCGTTGGCCTTGCACGCGGCCGACCCGGGTTCGATTCCTCCGCCCCTCTCGGAGAGCCCGGCAAGCTACCGAGAGTATCTCGCCCGCACGGCAGAGCCTGGCAAGCTCCCCGTGACGTATTCGATATGCCAGACACAGTAACAACAAGTCTCACGATGGAGATGTTACTGGTGCCCACTCGAGTGAATCGATGAACAACGGGAGGACAGTGCTACAGACATACGTGTGTGTGTGTGTGTGTGTGTGTGTGTGTGTGTGCAGCCTTGTCCCACTTGGCCACGGCACTCCTGTGGGACATTGTGGGTGGGGAGAGCAGGGTCTCCCCAGGGATGTTTGCACGAGACCAAATCCCACCCTTTGACCGGGACATGGTCCTTCCTCCTATGCGGGCCAGGCCGGGACCTCGACTCAGAGCCTGGCAGTGCCAGCTGCCCACCCCACTCCTCACCCTGCCCTCCCCAGGCCGACTCCCAGCCGTGACCCCTCAAGTGTCTTGTTCCTAGCTGCACCTGGCGCCCTGCGTGGCTGCTTAGCTGAGGACAGGTGGGCTCGGGGCCAGGGGGAGGGAGACACCTCCGTCTCCACTCCTAGATGTGTTCTAGAAGGTGGAGGGCCCCAGGCACTGCCAGCAAGGTGTACCCCAGTCACTCCAGCCCGCCCCCTTACTGCGGTTCACAGCCTGCCCGCCGGGGCTCGAACCCGCGCTGGGAGGAACCGCTTCAGCCTCAGCAAACCTCAGCTCCGCCCGTCCTCACTCTGCAGTGACCCTGGCAGCAGCAGGGCCTGGGGACACTTGTCCTCTTGGTCCCTCCGGGGCATGTCCCCTCTCTCAGCCGGGAGACATCCCACGCTCAGGAGGAGAGGGGCACTTGGGGCTTCGGAGCGATTTCCTTTTTTTTTTTTTTTACCCAGCGATGCTGGGGGGGGGGGGGCGGTTATTTCTGGCTTATCACTCAGAAATTTCTCCTGGCGGTGCTCGGGGGACCCTATGAGATGCCGGGAATCGAACCCTGGGTTGGCCGCGTGCAAGGCCAACGCCCTCCCCGCTGGGCTATCGCTCCAGCCCCATTCGGCGCGATTTTGAGCACGTTGGAGTTTCACCTTCCCTCTGGAGCCAGTTGGGGGCGGGAATGTCTGCAGCCCCCCTCCCCCGGGAGCAAACCTTCTCTCCAGCCGCCATCCGTCCTGAGGAATTCTCGAATCTAACCGCCGGGGACACCGGCGGGCACAGGAACCGGGATGAGAGCCCCACTCAGCCCCCAAATGGCTTGTCGGCGCGGCGTAATTGCTTGGAATATAGCAGCAGTCCTGCTCGAAAAATATTATTCCACACTCCGTGCCGTTGGGCTTACGAGCAATATTTCGGCTAATAGAAAAAGATCCTTTTATTCGTCTTAAATCAAAACCAGCAGTGGGCCGCTCGCTCCCCCGGCTCCCCCGGGCCGGGCCCCGTCTTCTCTGCAGCCCATTGGCCGGGACAGCCGGACGCCACCCCCCCACCCCAAACTCTCCCCCAGCCCGGCCCAGATTTCACCTTCACCTTGACTTGCTGAAAAAACACGGCTTGTGGCGTTCACGGGTGGAATCTGGGACGTGCTTCCAGAATGTTCCTTCCCCCACCAAGAGAAGTCACGTGCAGCCGGGGTCAGCAGAAAACCGTGTGGCTGTTCCCCGTTTATACCTCGCGAGAGTCCCCGGGCCCATGTGTCCCCCCCCCCCCCCCCGGCATGCTGGGAACCTGGGCCCTAAGGTGTCTCGGATGGGCGCATGCGCGGGGCCAGGGACAGTCACTTCCCTGTGGACGGGGGGCTGGGGGCTGGGGGTGCTGGGAGTTGAGGGGAGGCAGCGCAGGGTGGGGTTAGGATGGATGCCGGATGGGGCTGGTGGCGAAATAGCGAACGTAACCAAAGTAGAGAGAGGGGCCGGAGCGATAGCACAGCGGGGAGGGCGTTTGCCTTGCACACGGCCGACCCGGGTTCGATT